CCCCCCTCTTCCACACAAAACTAAATTAAAAAACAAAGCAAAGCAAAAGCTTTTTAAATAACTTGCCAGTTTGTGCCAGGAGGTAAGTGAGGCCACAGTCGATGTCCACCACACGGGTGTCCGGCGACAGTTCGCTCCGGCCAAAGATGGCCGCCGGGATGAGGTTTGGCTGTGACGTCACCTCCAGAGCGGGGCCTTTACCCAGAATGCCGTAGCCCCAGACGAACACTTCGCCTTGATCTGAAAAGAAATGCAAGAGACATTATTTGGGAAGCCGACAGTTTTCACCTCTTTATGTCAGGGCCAACTCGGACAGAATGAGATATGTGAGGCATGGCGGCGGTGAAATCAGGCGCTCGTCAAAATAATGAAATTAAAGAAATCTGCATTTTTTTGGTCGATGGGCAATTTTTGCAAGTTTTCTTTTTGGCTCAACACCTTTTATGTCCTTTTAAAAACACATATCTGAGTGGAATTCACTGACAAACATTGATTAGAGGCTAAAAAAATTGTACATTTTCAGTTTACAAAGACTCACAGACTATGGAATTTACCAAACTTTGGTGACCATTTTCTCGCTAATTTTACCTCCAAAACCAGGCAACCCTGACCACCTTTCATAGAAAATATTTCGACATCTATGCTACATAGATGGCTATTTTTTCACCAAAAGGAAGGCAAATGAGCAGGCTTTAAGATGATACCAATAATCCCGTCTGCCCAAAAATCGATGAGCGCCTGATTCCACCACATCATAACACATATAGTAGTAGTAGAAAGACAGTAATACTCGTAACATAAATGTTCCCAGTGGATTGTTTGTTTGATTGTTTTAATTGAGGAGATGCACATTAAAAAAAAAAGTTTTAGTAGAGGTTTTACGTCGCTCGCAACTGCATAAGGTCATATGAGCGCCAGAAGATAAGAGGTGTTACAAGAGAGTAACAAATATAAAAAAAGGAAGGGGAGATAAGGACGATAGATGTTTGATAGGAAAAAAGAAGCAAACCACACCAGAGCACCCGCCAACCACCCATGAGATGCACATTGACACAATAACGGTTAAGAGCTGGGCAAAAGTAAGATGGATATACATGAACAACAAAGGGAGAGAAAGAAGTAGGACCAACCAGTGGCACCCTCCAACTATCTGCGTGACGGTGGAGGAATCAAACTCCTGTCTTTTCGTGCGTCAGAAAAAAAAATTGTAATTATTACAGCACTGAGCCCAACAGTCACTTTTTCGTTATTCACATTAATCCAACAGTCATTTTTCGTTATTGACAGTTGACAATATTTAACTGAGAGACAGGAAAATCTGCAACGGAAAGTTAAGCTTAGTTCGTTTGTTTGTTTGAGTAAGGAGAAGCATATAGACACAATAATGATCATCTAGTGCTGGGAAAAGGTAAGACAGACAGACAGACAGACAGACAGAAACAACAGAGGGAAAGGAAAAAAAGTAGGACCTACCAGTGGCATCCTCCAACCATTCACTTGGCTTAGTTAGAGTAAAGAGAAATACAACGAACACAGCAACAGTCAGTTATGCAAGGGGAATATAAGAAGACAGACAAAGACAACAGAGGGTAAGGAAAAAAAGAAGGACCCACCAGTGGTGCCATCCAATCACTCACACAGACAAGACAGACAGATGCAATTGGGGGAAAGAAAAGAACTTTGTAGGACCTACAAGTGAAACCAACCTCCTCCCCCAACCAAAACCACCCCAACAGAAATACAAAAACAACAGAGGGAGAGAAAAGAAAGGGAGGGGGGAGGGGTGTTACACAAGACAGTACTAGAGATCAGCTTTGGCTGGACATGACTGATAGATAACTGTCTTATCCATAGGAGAGAGAGAGAGAGAGAGAGAGAGAGAGAGAGAGAAAGAAAGAGAGAGAGAGAGAGAGAGAGAGACAGACAGACAGACACACAGAGAGAGACAGAGAAAGAGCGGAAGAAAGAGATGGAAAGAGCGTAAGAGAGAAAGAGAGAAAGTGAGAGAGAGAGAGAGAGAGAGAAAGAGAGAGAGAGGGGGAGACAGACAGACATAGAGAGAAGAGACAGAGAGAGAAAGAAAGAAAGAGAAAAAGAAAAAAGAGAGAGAGGAAAAGAGAATAAAAGAGAAAAAGAAAAATGTATATTTACAAACGTTTCACGCATTCATTAACACAATGTATACTATGTAATAGTTCATATAGGGCGCAGACTACTTCGACCCCCGAGCCCCAGGACAGAGCAGACTAGACCTTCTATTCTATTACATAATTCCCCCCCTGCAGCCACCACCATGTTATAAAACCAGTCCCTTAGGCTGCCTTATCATTCCCTGGCAAAATGTCCGCGCCCACCAGGCTACTGTTGCTTCCTTTGCTATATCTAGCAGCACAGATCAATGGTGGACATCAGGTAGGCCAGTTGTGAACTGACATAATGTACTTTTTTCTGTGTGTTTTTCTGTTCCCACTTCCACTAGTAGTATCACCATTAATTGTTTGGCACTCATATGACCTTATGCAGTTTCGAGCGCCGTAAAACCTCTACTAAAACTAATCTAAACCATTAATTGAGTACTTATTACCAATGATATCATAATTACATTATATCATTCATCACCATCATCTTCATCATCACCGATGTAAGCACGATAATAACAATAAAATTTAAAAAAAAAGAAAAAATTGGAGAAGATCTGAGTATCATCCTCATAATAGTAATAGTAATAATAATAATGATGATGATAATAATAATAATAACAACAACAATACAGTAGTGTCCGCTTATGCCAAAACATGGATAATCCGAAACAGTTGTCAGTCAAAGGAAATAAGATCCCTGATTTTCATTCTTTTCATTTGAGCAGCCTCTCTAAATCGAAAACCTGGCAAAGCCGAAGAAATTCCGGCTGTCCTGCAGATTTCCGTTTAAGCGTACTCCAAGGCATCAGTAAAACAATCTATTAAAAAAATATCCCAAACTACCCCCCCCCCTCATTTCCAAGCTACATCAACAGATTGAAGCCGCCAATCTTGACCATGGAAGCTCAGCACAAAGTGATGACGTCAAAACATTGCCGGTGAGAAGTGAGGGGAGAAAGAGAGCACAAAGTGATGACGAAACTCTGGTGACTCTGGCCCAAGGTCAACTGCGAGGCTTCCAACAACACATGGAAGGTGGAGACAAACTCAGGATCTTCAATGGCATTCCCTACGCAACACCCCCTACTGGTTCGTGAATTAGAAAGTTAGAAGAAAGGATCATTTGGTATGCATGTCATCTGGGTGTTCGGGAGAAAGAAAGAGAGAGAGAGAAGGAGAGAGAGAGAAGGAGAGAGAGGGAGGGAGGGAGGGGAGA